AATATAATTGACATTGCTGGATTCCTTGTAAGACCAGGAATATTTTGAATATAAATGTCATATATTTTGCACAAAAGATAACATAGTTACCCAGAGAAAAAATGTTATCTAAAATTTGTATGTCTAATGCTAAATATATGATGTTTATATTCAAAATGATCACCAAATTATAAGAATTCCAGCAATGTAAATTATATTCTGGCCGGGTAATTTGTATGAATTTTATGAGCTAAAACAGGCAGTCAGGCAGGGTGGTGGGTGGCGCAAATCTAAAAATAGCTTCTCGAGCCGGGCACTCACCGGACACTCACCGTGTATATGTGGAAAAAATCCGTGTTAAGTGAAAGTTCAGCTCTGGCGAGGCACCGCGTATATGATAAAACGCGTTAAGTGAAACCGCGTTAGGCGGGGTAATACTGTGTATGTATATATATATATATATATATATATATATATATATATATATATATATATATATATATATATATATATATATATATATATTTTGTTACGACCGTGTCGTATTTTTTTCTTTTTTTTTATATATAACATGCTCCCATGTTCCATATTATTCCTGTAATGATGTGTTAAATTTACTATTATATATTCTAGTCACCTTACCCTGTGCTGTTAAGGTTTTACTGTCATTATTTGTTCAAGCCCATCTTATTTCTTTATTTTGTATTGTAACCAGCATTCTTTGTTCTCTAACGACTATCTGCATCGTTAAACGACCCACCGGCGGGTCGCGTGGCGGGAGCCGACCTTATATATAGGACCCACCAACTGACTTGAGTCAGTTCAATTCTCCTGTCATACAGTCCACATCCTTTGAGTGTCACTTGTTACTTATACTTAATTTATTTGTGTTGTTCCTGTCGCCACCAATGTGGTATATCTATGTGAGTACCTATTTATGTCTCTGTTTGTGTCCATCAGTATTTGCTTAGTTGTATTCAAGTAATTCAGTGTTGTTTCACGTTAGTTAATTTCAGTGATAGTTTTTACATGTTTATGCAGTGTTAACGTAATCCAATGCTTTATTTTTATTCTTTTGATGTTTCGATGTTTTGTATCACTTGTGTCTTAAAAGTTTCGATGGTGAATCAATTTGTTGTGACAGCCTACGAGGCTCTTTATTGTGTTAATATTTAATCAATTAAATTCTTAAAGGTTTACTTTATTTATTTTTATTCTCTTTTAATTTACTTCACTTTTTTGTTTGGTTACGCCTAGAACCTGGATATTTAAGTAAATTAAGAGACGGCGTAACAATATATATATATATATATATATATATATATATATATATATATATATATATATATATATATATATATATATATATATATATATATATATATATATATATATATATATATAAGTGGGGTATGCTATAACGAATCTAATTGGTTCTAGAACCTCGTTCGTTATAGCGTTTGTTCGTTAGGGGGCAGGGAAAAAACACTTTTATTTGAGTTGCAGGCTGCACTTTTCAGGCATCGTTTGTATGGCTGTAACAAACACCTGTGCAAAATTTCATGCCATTTCATGCATACTTACCCTGCCGCATCGCGAACGACTTTTTGTCAACTTTTAGTGTATACAGTACCAAAAATTAGGTGTCATTTAATGTTTTCCAGTATAATGATAAATTTTACATGGGTGACATCGATTTAATTCACATGTTATTTTACAGGTACACCGTATAGAAAATCATTACAAGTTCATATTGAAATTCTTTTTCGTGCGGAACCTTGGCATCATTTTCCTAGACAATAATCTTTGCCTAATATATCCATCTCTCGATTCGTATCCCGTCACTTCAGTGCAAGCTTCAGTCATCACTTTTATGCCTCTCTCGACCGCCTGAGTGCTGTTTGGCCACTTGGGCACCACTAATGGTGTCTCAAGAATGTCATTAACCTGTAGATTTGACAGAGAAGCAATGTAAGGAGGCTCAGTCTTGAGTTCATTCCTCCAGTTAATCATGGAATGATAGTTTTTTGCTTGCCACTTTAGTTTCGGAGTCACCACCTTTCTCATGTTGACTACAGGAGGCACATCCTCATTCCCATCTCCATCTTTACCCTCCTCATCAGTATAGTTTAACAAATTCTCGTCAACAGCAGCATCAGAATCTTCCTCCTCCTCTTCAGATCTGCCAGTGCATTCTTCCTTTTGCTGATTCTCCTCTCTAATTTTTTTTATCATTGAGACAGCTTTTTCTCTAACAGTCATGTCCTCATCTGCACACATACCAAGAAGAAGTTGATCTGTGTGGGCGAAGTATGCATTTTTCTGGACAGCCTTCTTCACTATCGTCTCCTCCTCACTATTCAGGTGTTTCATATATAGCAGGGACTGGAATACGTTCCTTGAGCCGTGTGTTACGTAAGGGTGTATCTTGATGTAAAACCACATTGGAGCACTGAACTTTATTATTGTAATGACAATTCTTTTCAACTCATGGCTGGGTCTTGATGTTGCTACATACAGCCTGAGGATTCTACTCCATAAGGTGTTCCACCTTGACACACAGGGAGGACCTGGCTCAATAGCAGCCAAGTCATCTTCAACAACACTTGTGATAACTCCTTTACAAATCCTATACAGGTATTTCTGATCCCAGGACAGATCTTTCTCCACTTCATCATTAAACACAGGGAAATCAGGGAAACTGACTGGCTGGAAGGCGACAACTGGAAGCTCAGACAAAGACTCCTTGATCTGCTTTCCAATGGGACCACGCCAATGCTCAGGACCACTTGGTTTACCATCATAAGTGATAAAAAACTGCGCGGAAAGGCAGCTCATTTCCGTGAAGCTGACATATGAAATAATTTCAAGTGCGCCAACTTACCCAGGTCTCCCCTACATTACAGTACAGTAACACAACATTGAGAAATGAAATGAGAAAAGGCTGAGAATCAATATAGACATAGCGCCATACTCATCTGCAACAAGACAACTTAAATGAAATAAGAGATATGAAAAAAAGTTGATAAACACTGAACAGAACATTGCACCGCCACAGCGGCTGTTTGGCTAGTACTGTAGGTAAATTTAAAAATTTCAGTAGAAAATGCGGCAGACTAAACCTCGACATATCAGCTTCAAATTTGGCATGGAGTCTTAGATATGTATAAGGAACAATGCCTGAAGAGTGCAGCTTTGAGCAAAATTTCACTGCCCCCTATTGTTCGTTATAGGGGTAATCCGTTCCAGGCCCCCAAGTACAACCACTTAAAAATGAAAAATATATTATAAAATTGTAAAAAAAGTGCATAAATGTGCATTTGAACTCCTAAACTAAAGAATATCATTAATACTTGTAATAAAAAATAATAAATTAGTAAAAAAAATATAAAAAATACTGTACTTTATCTTACCTTAGTGTTGTTCAGCATGCAGGACAGGAGGCAGAGGAGGAAGGGGGAGGAGAGAATTACTGAGAAGAGGTGGAAGGAGAGGAGTCATCCTTTCTAGCCCTCTTTGGTGACTGTCCTACAGGCAGTTCATCTGTAGGATCTTTTTGAACGTTTTTAAAGAGGGAACCCAGGGTTGACTGCTTCAACCTGGATATCTGGACCTTCCAAAAGTGGGCCTTCACAGTGTCATTAAAATTACTAAGGCCCTTTTCCACAGCACCAACATCAGGATGATAATCCTCCACAAGTTTTGACAGTTTGTTCCAGCACCAGAACACATCCTTGAGATCTTTGGCTGGAATGATGCGGCTTTCCTCCTTGTCCTCATCCTCCCCTGACTCCTCAGAAGCTAAGCTTCGCTTCAGTGTCTCTGTCTGTTCATTATGAAGCTCGAGCAGCTCCTCAGTGGACAGTTCCTTCCTGTGCTCCTCCACCAACTCTTCAACATCCTCCTCATTCACTTCCAGGCCCATGGAATTGCCTAGACACACAATTTATTGCACAACAGCCTCTCCCTCTAACTCTTCAAAGCCTTCAAAGTCTCTTGGGGGCACACATTCAGGCCACAATGGCCTCCAAGCAGCACAAAGACACCTCACAGAAACCTCTTTCCAATCTGACACAATAAAAAACACAGCATCTGCAATATTGTAGTGACTTTTCCAAAAGTCCTTCAAACTAACATCATTGGAAGAAGTGGCCTCAAAACATTTTCTAAACAGTGCCTTTATGTACAGCTTCTTAAAGTTAGAAATGACCTGCTGATCCATGGGCTGGATGAGAGGTGTTGTGTTGGGTGGCAAGAAGTGCACAGTGAAGAAGTTGAATTCCTCTGGCATTTCTTCCATCAAATTAGGAGGGTGGGCTGGTGCATTGTCCATCACCAATAGAGCTTTTAAAATAAGATTATTCTCCCTGGTTTCTGAAAAATGGATATGGGCCAACCAGGGGTTGGACTTTTAAGAGTAGGACTGGCAACCATCTGCGGATTAATAAGATGTTTTTTTACATATAGCACTGTACTTATAATGCCATGATACTGTATACGTATTGTGTTGTCAGTCTGTGGAAGTCATTTATTGTCAATTAACAACTGCCATAAACTGTGTTTGGTTTTACAGTAAACAGTATTACTTTATTTTAAAGCAAATGTAAAAAATTTTCCAAGCCAAAATTGTGACTTGTTTTCGTTATTCTTTTTCTTGTGACTTTATTTCCATTCACCCCCAAAATCTGACACCCCCCCTCCCCCCACCACCATAAAATCTTGGAACTGCCCCTGAATCCTCAACCCAAATTGGAATTCCAGGATTCATTCCTGCCTTATTCTTTTAGTTTTAATTTTTTCTGGTGCAATAGTTTGTTCCACAACCAGTAGAAGACATTTCACTCTTATTATTACTATAGACTCTTAAACTCCTAACTTTATATCTGGGATTTATGCCATATTTCTCATATATATACCATTCATACAATTACTGTATGTCAGATTTCTTTGCTGAATTCCTGTAGAAAATTATGACAGTGTTTTGACTTAATCATTTATTTATTCTTATTTATCTCCATTAGTTCAAGCTCCACATGAGACGTCACACTGGAGAGAGACCTTTTACTTGCTCTTACTGCACCAAGCCTTTCTTAAATCGTGAAGCTTGGCGAACACATGAAAGGAAACACAGTGGAGAGAAGCCATATGTCTGTGAAGTTTGCACAAAAGGTTTCACTGAGCAGTACACTCTAAGAAAACATCTACGAATGCATACAGGTAACTTAATTTAAGGGGAGGGTCCTACAGTTACTCATGGACTTTTTTCTTTTTTTTACAGATTTGCCTATTTTTTTTTCTTTTATGTTATATGGGGCTCAATAACTTAGGGTTTTGTAAGCTTCAATTAAAATGCCCAAACAGTCTTGATTTTTTTTTTCAGATTTGTTTAATTTTCCCCATTAATGGGGACACCCATATCAAAAAAATGCTATTGACTGATTTTTTTTTATAAGTTGTTTCGTTGCTGAGAAATAAATGTTAAAAGGATGGGTAATTTTTTCAAAAATATTTGGTACAGTACAAGCGCAGAGTATGCATATCTACAGTATAGTCTGCACTTACGAGGTTTTTGTTTACGCGTTTGGTCATTTACGCGGTGCCTTGCCAGCATGAAAATGCTTTAATTACGCGGTAAATTTGGTCATTTACGCGGCAAGCGGCTGGAGAGGTCCAGACCGCCGCGTCATTTTTTACCCACGCGGTCCATTCTTGACCATACGCTGGAAGCGGCGTGGTGAGTGGTGCGCATTAGGCCGTTCTTACGTTATCGCTGATGTCGTATGACATATTGGACTGTGATTGGGCCACGCATTCTTACTACCCACGCATTCCCTCCGCCGCTAGCTGTAATTGGTCTAATGTAACATGACGTGCCCTGCCACCAGAGAGTAGAAGTCGCTGACCTAGTAGGGCCTGTCTCATTGTTCTCAGTCCGCATATACATTTCTCTCTTGTGCCCGCTATTCCCCTCACAACTCACAATGGCTTCCGCGGGACCCCCACCACCAGAGAAAAACATCGAATTACCTGGACCAAGCCATGATAATGTGAAGGAAATCATCGAGTTGGGGGAGAAACTTAAGCTCATCCTTGAAAACGACCCAGACAAGCATTGGTATGAAGTGTCTAATAACCGTCTGACGAAAGTTATGGAGCCGTATATCCAGACCTATCACGACAACATCAATGCTAGTCGTCAACGTAGTATTGAGGACTTCCTCGCACGCAACCCACCACAACCACAGCCAGCCCATGTCAGTGATAGTGATATAGACAGTGAGGATATGGACTTTGAGAGGTTTGTCTGGGAGGCCCTGCAAACCTCTGCGAGTAGTAAAAGTGAAAGTGATTCACCGGAGGGCAACTAATCTGCCCTCTGCCTCGGAACCAGCCACCATCCACGTGTGCCGACCCAGCTTTTCTACTAACATAAGTGTTAAAAACCTAATATTATTGATATTTCTCTTAATTATTAATTGTGTGGGCATGCCATCATGAAATTAAGATGTTATTTTTACTACAACATACGTATTGTGTCGGAAAAAGTGAAGTTTGGGGGCTGGCCCAGTCTCCATTTCAACTAATCCCATATGTTCTGTTATTTCATTTACTCGTTTCTCGTTTTACGCGGGCCTCCACGGGTTCAATTGACAGTGTAAATGCAGACTATACAGTATAGTACGCAACCCTGCTTATGCGCATCTGACCCCCCTGAACCGCCCTTACGCTTGGGTCTCACTTTCACATGAGCCAACCCACCCAGCATCTCTTGCTAGCTCAGCATATTTATCACTTGTCCGTGCTCATTTGAGAAAAATAATTATTACAATCTAATGTGGCTTAGAAATAAAGAAAATATGATATAAAACTATAAATATGAAAAATAGAGAGTATGGGTGTATATGTGTGGGAAATAAATATACTGTATATATTGAGGCTGTTGTGAAAAGTATCGCGATGTACTGAACGTACAAACGACTGTAAATAATTCTCTATCCAAAGAACAATATTAAAATACTAAGTAGTATATAATCTTATAAACATAGTTATTCCAACAAGCAAATTAAGTGATTAAATAAATCAACTACGAGATGACTAGGATATGTATAAAATTGGCAGGAAGTGGAAATTTGTTTCTTCTAAACTACACTTTGTATGAATACCAAATTTAATAAAAAAAATTAATTACATAATTCAGTAATAAGTTTACTGAAAACAACAATTATAACGGTTAGTTTAGAAGATAATTAATATTAAACATCCGTATTTTTCGGCTTAGAAGACGCTGCATCCTGGAAGACGCACCCTGACTTTGGAAATGTAATTCTAGGAAAAAACTTTTTATACAGCTCCTCCCCGACTTACGACCTAGCCGACCTACGTCCACCCGCACTTACGACCTGCTCAGTCCATAACGACCATCAGCACATACGACTGCACAGTCGGGACCAAAAATTTTTTAAAATGATGCACGCATTTTCTACCGTATGTCTCGGCCTATAAGATGGAATTTGAACCTTAAAAAAATCGGCCCAAAATTAGGGGTCGTCTTAAATACCTGGTATAAAATTATTACCTCTTAAATATTGTGGTTTAGTGTGTCAAGAGTGGTGATGGAGAACATCGTAAACCACTCACAAGGTCCTACCACTAATTATTTTATATTGAAACTTACGTTTGGGAAGCTGGATTAAAAATAAGATTACCGGTATATTGAAATAATATAAATGTATTATAAACCTGTCTAATATACCGTAAAATAACAACATACCCCGGTAATAAACACAGCTATCATCACGCACCGCCCGCCATTTGCCAGTGACGAGACAAAAAAGGGAAAGTGGCAACTGTAAGAGGAGGAGCTAGGGCTATTCTTAGCATGTCTTTGTGTCCGAGGTGGCCAGTAATGCATACCGGTATATTTACTGATCATAATACTTATCTCCTATAAATAATTCATTTAAAATTTATTTTTTTACAAAGAATATTCAGTAAATGACTGCGATAATTCTTGAAACTACCACAGTGGTAGTTTTCTTCATGCTAAATTTAGGATGAGAATGAAGAGGCCGAAATCATGTCATCTGCAGCAATGCAAATTATATTCTCCTAACTTTAGTCTGAGATATTATATTAGAAAAAACTGTAAGCCTAAAACCCTGGCTGGGAGGGAGGGAGGGTGCCAGCGAGAGAGCGAGCGTGGGGGGGGGGAGGGGTGATATGTTTGACAGTTTGAGCTGAAGGTCTCCTGTGTGTTTATTTAACAGTCCTACTAAGCTTCTATCATTTTAAAATGCCACGTCATCTGATTTAGAGTTTGATCCTTAATGATGATGCAACTATAAATGTATCAGGTAAACTTCACCTACCGGGTATAGCCTCCCTTTGTCACGAAGCAAGTTAATAGGTAAAAGAAAATACTTGCAGTGTGTTTAATATATTACAGTACAGTTG